ATGGATTACTCCAGTTAAAAAAGAATGGAAGACAAAACAAGCTTCCACAGGCTTTTCCAGAGTAAGCATGGCCTGTAAGTGTCTATGGGGATTCTCAGTCATCAAGGTCATAGATGTCCCAATGGTGCTTTTTCAAGAGACAACTGGGCTTTCTTGTTTGTCTTTGAAGATGTTTCGCTTCTCATTCAAGAAGCTCCTTCAGCTCAGAGCTCAAAGCTGAAAAAGCTTCTTGGATGAGAAATGTCTTCAAAGAAAAACAAGAAAGTCCAATTGCCTCTTGCAAAAGCATCTTTGGGACATGGCCTGTAAGAGTAGAAATCATAGTTATGAATAGAATTCAACTCCAAAATACAGAAGTATTTGGGGAAAATATGGGGAGATAAGCATTAAGCATTTATAGATCCATGTTTTGTTTTAATCATAGTTTAGTGAACAAACTACCGTAATATAAAATTGAAACTAAAAGCCATAGTTTATAAGTTACTATGGCTAAGTTAACAGATTTTGCATTAAGCCAAAACCAAATAATGGCCAACTTCACACAATATGCTAATTTGTTTAGCTGTCAAATTTATATTGCTGCCCATCTTACATGAAGTGACACACAATAAAACCTGTTATTAAAACCTACTAGGTATAAGACCAATTATTTATTATTTTTTTTGCCGTCCAATTCACAGCAAGCCTACTCTTGCAATAAAACATAAACATATCTATATGTATAAAAGCGAAATACCACTCACACATCATCACAAAATTTCCAGAACCATAAAGCCTACAAACTTGAAATTTGGCGCTCACTAAGATAGGATTTTTTGAAATGACCATCAGAGCATTAGTATTTCATATATTAACACGCTCTGATGCTAAGGAGTTCTACTCCCCCTCCCCACCTGAAAAGAAATCTGTTCCAAAAGCAAAACACAAGCTGAGGAGAGGAATTTCAGTTTGTTTTAATTTCACAGCAGCAACCAGCTTTAGTACAGAACAGTTGAACTAAGCCATGCCCAGGCTCCTTGCTCACACAGCAAATACTCTTTCAGTTTCCAAACAGCCCTCAACTCTCTCACACACTGACAGGACGCTAGCCAGATGAGTACGGTGGATGCTGATAGGCAGAGGCAGAATTTTTCTCCCTTATTTTCTTCTCCCAAAACTAAGACCGACCAAATAGTTTTGTAGCGAAGCACAGGTATCAAGCTATATTACAATAAAACCATAAGCAGGGAAATATCACACATAATACAGTCAACAGGTGGGCTCCCTATCACCAGGGATCCACAGGTTGTTGAAAAAAATGTATTAAGGGCTTTTTGGAAGGAAATAAGAGTTGACCTAATCATCAGGAGGGATGATGTTCCAGATGGTGGATGCCACAGTAGAAAAAGTTTGCCTCCTAGGTCCTGTCAGATGGATCTCATTCACAGATGGGACCTATAATATGCCTCTCCTACCAGGACTTGATGGGATGAGTAGAATATAATCAGGAATATTATATCACCCTTAGACAACCTGTCTCCATGCCATGTAGGGCTTTAAAAGTCAAAACTAGCACTTTGAATTGGGCCCAGAAGGTAACTGGCAACATACAGCTCATAAAACAGATATGTAAGTCTTCTTGGGGGCACACATAACTGCCTGTGCTGCTTTTGGATACAAGGGCATGTAGAAGGTATTATAATAGTATGTGTGAAGGGACTAGGGCAAGAGTAACTGTGAGCAGGGCCTCACAATCCAGAAATGATGCACAAAACAGTTGTGCAAAGCCCCTCTTGGCCATGCCTGGCACCTTTTTCTCAGCTAGGAATTTTGAGTCCAGAAGGACTCAAGCTTCCAGGACCAAAGACGGTAAAGTCCCAGATCTAGAAGGCTCTAAAACACAAAGCTATTCAGCCTTGTCAGTTTAGGGTGTTCTATGAATCTAGTCACCATAATTTACCCAACACAGTAAATACATCAGTTTCACATACTATATGTCATAATACTATCTATGAACTATCAGTTGCCTAAATAAGCTTTTGAATCACAGATTGTTCAGATCAGATTACACTCATCAGCTGTAGCTGTATTTACATGGAAGTAAGACCAAATGCATACTTTCTCAAGCTGCATTCTGCCTAAGGCTAGATATACATGCATGAATATGCACACTGCAAAAACAGTCCTCATAACCCAGCCTATTCTCTCATACTCCCCTCAAAATCTTTTTTTCATACATGAGGCCCAGGATTATACGTCTGAGTATTTTGTCATCCAACTTTAAAACTCTTTCACTTATGACTTTGCATCTGCAGCAAAGCTTCCATTCACTTGGGAAACAAAGGAAATTTGCGCAACCGGCCGTTTTTTTTTTAGTTCCTGTTCAATAACTTGCTTAAACGGTTTTGGAATGTGGGGTGACGAATAGGGCAGACTATGCTTTTCTCTCAATCTTCCCCCTATGCAATGGCACTATGACACTGGCTCACATAGCTTTCTTATTCATTCCTTCACTAGAATAAGCTATTATGTAGGCAAAATAAAAATAAAAAATCGACCGTGACACACACCAACAATGAATCCATTCCACATAGCATTGTCTCCCCAGGTATGAAGCGTTTTTTATGTTTTAAATACCCAACAGAGGCGTATCCAACCCGTGTCATAGATTCTGGTTCATGGTCATTTTACAGATCTTCAGAAATTAAAGCGAATCGTCTGAGCCCCAAGAGAGAAGCAACCATTGAGGCTTGCTTCTACCACAGCATCTCCCAAATATCTTCCCGATCTGATTCCCTGTCCCTCATACTTTATTGAAACTTACCCACCGCCGCCCCCGCCTCCTCCCGCCCGGCGATACATAGTCGACTTGCGTCGAGAAAGCAACATCCTGCCGTCTTGCCGGTCAACACCCCACCCGGGACACGTTGGCTAACACACCAGGTCCAACAACTATCGCATCCCTCCAGAAACATGCTCCTTACCAGCTGTTCCGCCTAACGTTTGTTCCTAGTTGAAGAGAAGTTCCTCGCTTAAGGATGAGCAAAGCGAATCGGTCCCGAATGATAGAAAATAAGAGTACAAAAGGCAGAGCGAACTTCTAAGTATCGCTAGAAAAAGGGCTCGTTGATTTACGTTCATTTATTAACATAAGCCTTAAACCAATCATTAAAGATATTGCTGAAACATCGATTTAGATGCCTTCTGCTGCAAAATGTGGGATGTAATAAAGATAGTACACGTTTTAGAAGGAAACAACCATTTTTAATTTCTCTCAATACAATACCAACCAGAATTAAGTACCTTCAATAAACAAAACATTAAGGTCAGATCATTTATTAAAATTACCCTCTCTTCTAAAAACGTTAACTACAGTATTTCTTCTCCCATTTAAAAGATAACTTGTTTCAAGTATAGCAGTAAAAGGCGGCCAAAAACTCAAATGCTTCAATTGGATTGTACATATTAATTTAATGTCCTTCTGACATTGTGAATATACCAATGAATGGCAATGGTGAAGTCATTCTAAAATGTTTGGGTTATTCCAAAGACATCCTTCTCAGCACACCACATTCCAAGAACAGGATAACAACACTGCTGGATTCTTTCCTTACAATCTAAGAAGCTCCCATTTTCCCAGTACACCAAGATTTATTTCAGAATTAATTCTGGCATAGTCAGAATTATAGTCTATATATTATATTATATAGTCCAATCAAGAGATACAACTGAATTATGAAAAATAATTGTTTTGAGTGGAATTCCATTCAAAATTGTTTTGTGACTTAGTATTATGGATAATTGGAAACAGGTTGGAGTTCACTTGTCTGATCAAGTTTAACAATTTAAGTTCATCCTCAGGTATTTCAGCAATAAAATCACCATTCCATCCATTTTATTAAACCAGTTACATAACACATTTATTCCACGTACAAATAAGGTTCATTAGATTTATTTGGTGACATCTGAATTGCAGAACTCACTGCAGTTGCTTCTAGTTCTTCATCTTACAGAGTTCTGCAGTCTGCTTAGGTAATAAACTATCATTAGCATTAAGGAAAGAAAATCCTATGCAAACTTATAAAGAAACAATACATATATTTCAAACAGATATGGACTAAATAATACACCATCCACTTAGGTTTTATACTCATTCTTTACAAAACTGGAAATAAAAATTTCAGACTCCTATAGTGAAAAGGAGGTATGGATAGACAAAGGAATGAGTACAATGCTTGCATTCATTCCACCAATCCTGCCATGCTCCCCGTAAGAGATAAAAAAGCAAATCAGATGGTCAACATAACCCAACAATGCTTCAAGCTTATTCAGAAGTGCAGTTCACAAACATAAAGCAATAACAGAACCTTTACTCTAGTTGCCTAAAAATGACCCAATTCAGACAAATAATCCTGAGTGCAAAATGAAGTCTGACAACATAAAATATTCCATCATTTTGCAATTCCCTTTTCTATACCCATTTTTGAGGCTGGCTTATCCATTCAGTTTCCCCTGTGTTCCAAACTAAGGTAATGTGGCTTAAACTTTGCAGCTTAGAACCACTGCTTGTTAAAGTATGGCATGCTAGAAAATATAGCCAGGTGTACAAGGGGCAAAAAATTTAAGCAGTTTATTCTTTGATATAGCAGAATATAGTTTACTGGCCACAAATTTTAATGTCTGAATCAAGTCATTTTTTTTTTCTTCCCCCCAAAACTGCACCTCATATTTAGAGGAAGAGACAGCAAGGAGTGTGTCCCTAATTTTGTAACAATGATTATGTAGAATTTGCTAGATAGCCAAGAATTTGGCAACAGAAACCCAAAAAAGATTTAAGCTACAAATGTTAGCAACTTTATTTGGAAGGGCATTCCAATGAAATCAGTAGGATTTTCTTCCTAATAAATGTAATTAGGATCTTATTGGTGGAGCAGCAGAAACATGTATGCATGGGCATTTGCAAGGACATGACAGGAGATGACAAAATGTGTGTCATGTTGACATGCAAATGCCAACTTATATAGAAATAACACATACTTAGATGCAACTAGGTGGCATCTGTATAATACATGTATGTCATAATTTTGGTTTCACTGTGGTTTGCTGCAGATACTGCTGCATATATCCTATTGAATGCTGCTACTTTAAGTTGCACTGTTGTAAAAGCAACCTTGCAACTGCTTATACATTCAAGGTAATAAGAAAATGAAGTACTGTCTATGCCAGAAAATGGTGAGTAGGTATAGACAGGAAAAATCAATTTTAACAAGATAGAGAAGAAGAGTATAAGTGAATTTCAATACTTAATCATCTTTTATTAGAAGCCCAGTGATCAGCACATTAATCCCATAACACAGATTTCTTTCAGAAAGAATCCTATTAATTCCATAGCAGCAAATCCCCAAATCAAACTGCGTCCTATGTATGATGAAAAAGAGAATTGAAAGGAGAGCCTCCAGATCTTCTCATTCAAAACATTCTCCTGAGTGGTGCACTGGTGGTGGTATTTAGAAATCAGTGCCAGTACATATACAACACAGTTAAAAATTGCAAGTTTTCTTGGCTCTGATAAACTGTGATACTGGCTATGCAAAGTTCCAATCACCTTTCAGAAGAGAGTCTAATTCTGAAGAACATAATTAGTCAGGAGAAAAGTGGAAGACATGGTGCCTTCCTCCCCTCTCTGCAAATACAAAAACAAAACACACTCTTCCTATAGAGCTAGAGAGGGGGACTGGTCTTGACTATCTGGAAAGAAGGCAGCATCTTCCTGGGGCCAAAGCACTGCATTGAAATCACCACAGGCTGACATGTTGAAGGAGGAAGAAGAGCGGACACACTGGGAGGTAGATGGCACAGATCCTGGCAAGTAACCAGTCTGGTGGAAAGGGCCAATGAGAAAAGAGAAGATCAATGCAGACACCTGAAGTGCCAGGAACTGTTCCTGGAAGAAATGCAGGCTTTGGGCTGATATTACTCTTGTTTTATACCAGCTTCTTGGCTTCAAAGAAACTCTTGAGGTGTCTCATTTGCCAAACGCCAATGACTACAAGGATGAGAGTCTGAATTATGGACCACCAGAGAACCCTCTGGTTTGTGCTTTCACTGGTTTGCCGGAAACGCTCCTCTCGCCACTGAGAAAAGAGGGAAAATATCAAGGAAACATTAAAACAGAATGGGATATATTTTTATGGTCAGTTTGGGGGAAACAGCAAAAATATAGAAAACTCTGCATATTTTCACCAATACCCTCAACAATAAGGTATGTGGGCTGACCAATTTCGTTATGGTACTTCCTCCAAAGAATTAGGCCTCTTCCCCAACTTTATTTATTCATCTAGTCTAGTCTTCTAACTAGAAGAACTTCTCTAGTCAAATGTCTATGGAGATTCTCAGTCATCCAGGTCATGGTTGTCTCAAAGATGTTTTTTTCAACCAGAAAGTCCAGTTGCCTCTTGAAATAAGCACCTTTGGGATTCTCTTGTCAGAACTTTAATTTTCAAGAAGCCTTGCAAAAGTTCCTCATCAAAAATTCCCAAATAAACTTAGTGGTCATGAAATGAGAGAACCTATCTTTTTGAGAATTCCTCACTGATTAAAGAACAAAACCAAAAAATCAGAATAAGTGGACAATTTTCTGAACGAATAATGGTAAGAGTCACAAGTCACACAAAGATCTGTGCTGGGACTGTTGCCTTTTAACCTATTCATGACAAACATGACTTAGGGTAAGCAGAGAGTGAGCCAGGTTTGCAGATTACATCAAATTATTAAGGGTGGTGATGAAATTCAAAGGTGATTTGTGAAAAGCCCAGACTGATCTCTTTAACCGAATGATTGGTCAATACAATAAAAATTTAAATAAGTGTAAAACACTAAACATCTGGGCAATCCCCCCCCCCAATTTTACATTTACAGAGATCTTTTTTCTGGTTCATTACAAATAACTCAGATAAACTGAAAAATAAAATAAATTGTGGGATCAGTGTGTCTTGCAGAAGAGCAACAACTATAAAAAGATCAACACCTCCTGCCTGATGAATGAGGACTTGTATGAGAACCAAAATGCTAGACTAATATGGGTCCTGACCTCATCCGATAGTTATTTTCATGTCCTCTATCTCAGGAAAAGATTTCCTTGCTATCTGATGTCTAGTTCTTTAAAGGGATAAAAGTTTATGTGCCAGTTGCACATCTGACAGGTTGAACTGCCACAGAGCTATAATCTGCCTTTCTTACCCTTTGGTAGTTTTGTTCTTTCTGGATCTGTTCTATCTGCTCCAGAAGCTGGCGAACACGCAACTGCAGCTCACTCAGCTTGTCCTTAGCTGCAATCTCAGCATAATCATTGGCATGTTCCCCAACTTGGATGTCAAGATGGACCCTCTGCAAAAAGAATAAAAAAAGAATAAAGTGCAAATACCAATAACAGCAAAGATGCCTTAATAGCAAGCATGAGGTAAAAAATCTTCTCTTAATTTAACAAATATCTTACCAGCATGCCTCCTGCAAAAAGGGAAAACTTTGTGGAATTGGAGTGCAGGCAGATCTGATGCTCTCCTGGGGTGTGTGAAGTAAAGATGAATCTGCCCTCTGAGCCATACTGCCGTGACAACACCACCTGTAAATGGAACAGATTTATAAGAAAGCACACAAGAAAAGTCAGACCAAAAATATATGTATACAGGATTTCAATCTTCAAAAAGGGCGAGCATTTTCTTGCAAATCTTTTCACTATACAGTAGATATTAAATGTTCTAAATGAAGTCAATTATTTCAGCATGGTTCAATATTTAGGATTTCATAACATACAGGCAGTCTCTGAATTAAGAACATCTGACTTAAGGACAATCCCTAGATATAAAGATACAACCTTTGTGTTTTTAATATACAGCTTGTTTTCAACCGTCCCTGGAAGCATTGCTTGGCTTCAATGCTTCGTTGGCTCAAGAAAGGACAACACAATCTTTAGTAAGAGGCAGTCCTTTTGTAAGTATGAGTTCCAACTTAAATACAAATTCAGGTTAAACATAGAGGTAGGGAGTGGAATTCATTCTTAACACAAAGACTATAGTTTACTTATTAAATTATGAAACATCTAACATTAAGTATGAGATTAAATCCATTATTTAAAGAATGATGTTTAAAATAGTCAACTGTACTAAGCTGATGAGACTAAGGGGCAAACAGCATAGAATTTTTGTAAAGTTTATTTTACATGCTGTACAACCTTATTAGGGAAAATATGAAATTTTTTTTTTTTACTTAACGAATTTGCTAGGTAACTCAGGTTATTTCACTTATTTCTCTTATTATGTACCATATATACTTGTGCACTCTAATAAAAAATGAAATTAAAAAGGTAATGAAGGATCACAAATGTCATTGTTTTATTTATTTTTCATTCTAGACTACTTTGTACTATTTTCCAAATAGGAAACGGCAACTGATTATTTTAAACTACTCTGAAAGGAATGTCTTTTTGATATGATTAGAAAGGTGGCCAGATCTGTTTAATTTTCTAAAGATACAGAAGAGTAAACTGCCTAGGAATAGCAATGCCAAAGTATAGATGTGAGATCGGATCTGGACACAAAAGCATGTGTTGGGTTTACATATGATACAGTCACAAATTCCCAAGTTCGACAGGCGCACCTGTGTTCACACCCACCCAATCCATTACTTCGCGGCATTTGGTTCTGAGTTGTTGAGTCTCTGGCGCGGAGTCTCGCGTTTCTCCCGATGTTCCGCCATCTGACAGAGCCCCCGAGGGAGGAATGTGCTCGAGAACCTCACTGAGACCATGTGCTTAATGTACCTTTTCATCGGGGTCCTTCACCTCCACAAACATGCCCAGGCCCGGAGTAGCAGGAAGGTACTCTTCTCGCTGCTTATCGTACAACTGCGTCCGGTAATTCCCTGCGTGGTAGAGGGGGGAAAGTTGGCCTCGGAACAGCTTCTGTCCGCTCTTTTCCAAAGCCCACCACCACGCCCCACCCACACGCACCTCCTAACCCGCTTCGGCACACTGAAGTCCCCCTCCTTTCCGCACTCCCTCCCTTGATACGACCGGTCCTCCCCTCCGCTCACCGATGACCATGGTCTCGTCCGGGATCTCCTCGATGAAGCATTTGCGTTCCGTTTCGCCCAAGTGGAAGTAAAGGCCCCACGCGCGGGATACGATCCCGGCTACCAGCAGTAGCAAGAGCACCCTCGACCGACCACCGGGAGCCGCCATGATGCCGCGCTTGCGTCCTGTCTCCGCTTTCGCGCCACGTAATCGCTACACAGCAGAGGGCAGGCCCCGCGTCGCCAAAAGGCCGAAAGACTACAACTCCCAAGGAAGCGGGTGGGGAAGGGGAAGAGCCTCCAAGCGCGGATTGGAGAGCTTTCTCTCTCTCCTAAGTCAGCGGAAGCGCCGCTATGTTTAGTGGTTGGGTTGGTACAGTAGGTTGAAAGCTAGGGAGTAGCAGAGGACTCGAAACATTCAGGTTCGCAGGCCGGCACTTTCAACGGTCCCGCTTTTCTCCCCTGGGCCTGGCCGATAAATAGAAAAGCCCAGGACTGTCAAAATAAGAGTAGAATTGCCTTCTAGAGACTTGCAGATAGTCCTCGACTTACGACCACAACGGAGCCCCAAATTTGTTGTTGAAACATCTGTTGAGTTTTGCCTCATTTTACGACTTTTCTTGCCACAGTTGTTAAAGTGAATCACTGCAGTTGATAAGTTAGCAGCCTGGTTATTAAGTGAATCTGGCTTGCCCATTGACTTTGCTTGTCAGGACACAAAAGGGGAATCATGTGACCCCGGGACACTGCTACTGTCATAAATATGAGGCAGTTGACAATTTTGATGACAAGGATGCTGCAACAGTTATAACTGAAAACCGGTCATAAGTCACTTTTTTCAGTGTTGTAACATTGAATGGTCACTAAATGAACTGTTGTAAGTGGAGAACTACCTATACCAGCTATGAAATGTGATTATTTTGGGTCTTGTGAAGATGAAAGATGAAATGTATTGCATTTCAAAATTCAAATTCTCAGATTAAAATATGTTCCCATTTATTTTATGTAGTTGAATCAGTTTTGATTCCTGGTACTGCCCCAATTAGTCCCTATAGTTTTCTTGGCAAGGGTTTCCTATGTGGTTTGCCATTGCCTTTTTCCTAGGGTCCAGAGAGCGACTGGCCCAACCTCACCCATTTGGTTTTATGCTTAATTAACAGGCCAATTGCAAATTCTGAGAATATGTTCATGTGAAAAATATTTTTTTTAAAAAACCTGAATTGCTCCATTATTAACACTTTTTGATCCCTGAAATTTTAAGCATGGAATTAGGTTCCTGCCCCCCCCCCCCCCAATCTAGTAATACAAATGCAGCCCATCCACCATTCACTTATTAACCATAAAATTAAGACAAACCACCAGGATAAGTTTTCCATTTTATTTCACATTGTCTTTCTTCAATTTATCATCTCCCATATGCACACATAACAATGTGGCTATGATACACTTCAATTCTGCCATTAGAATCAACTAGTTTGGATGTTTAATCAATGGGGCACATAGTCCATATTGTCTAGAAAAATCAAGCCCCTGTTCTCCCAAGCCAATGCAGTCACAGTTATCACATTTCATGGATACCAGTTGTTTTGGTGCAAGTTAGTTTCACTCCCAGCAAAACAGAAATAGCTGGTATTAAAAAAAGGTTCTGGAATAAGTGAAACTATGAAATACATTCAGTTCAAAAAAATAATTTTCTTGAATTAAGTTTATAGGCCACAGCAAGAAAACCACCCTCCACATAGCTGAACTACCAAAATACTCTTAAGAGTAACTGTGTGGAAATACTATCTGAAGTGCAAAACCTGCCTCTCAGAGAAGAAGCAACATTTTCTAAGTTTGAACCATACTGTTATTTGCCTGTTTTCCATACAAAAATTTTATAGAAGCACTGAAGGTTCCATACAGCTTTCAAAATGGCAGGCTCCCAAGTACAGTACAACCTGTATTCCAGATTGTTTGACACAATTTCCTATTGTTGCCAAGAAAAAAAGGGATATGAAAATATTCCATACATTTCTCTGAAACAGCCTTTTATAAACCAGAGTCTATACAATTCTCCCTCCCCCTTGTAAAAAACATCCCCAGCTGCCCCAAATTTCAGTTTCCTACACCTTAGTAAAATCGCTTGTTTCGCTCCTGGCGTTTCTGGAAAACCACAGCCCCCACCACAGCACATACAATGATGCCAAGTAGAGAACATAGTAATAGTAAGAACACTTTCCAGCCTGTCAAGGGCCCACTACGGAAGTTTCCTGTTGGATCATCTACATTATCTGAAGAGAAAAAAATAAAAAGTTTAATACATATTACATCTTTCTGCTTTTCTACGTAAATAATAGTTTAATATAGATTAGCATAATTCTGGATTACACAGATTACACAGAATAGCTGTCCTCTCCAGAGTTTGTGAAAACCCTCCCAGGTTTCTTTGCAGAAAAGCTAATAATCATTAGGTGGATAATGAGAAATAATCTGAAACAGAATTTTAAACTTTGCTCTCTAAGATTCTGGTCCAGCTGAGATCCCATGGTGAACTTTTACCTGTTTCAATGCAGCATATACAACTGCAGACAAAAATATACGCATTCTTGGTCAAATTGTATATTTAAATAAATCTAAGTAAATAAATAAATCTAAATCTGGTTCTATTGTACCAATGTCTACATGGTAAAAATTAAACAGAATATCTTCTTGCAAATCTGAATGCATATTTACTATTTATGAAGTTTTCAAAAATTCAAAATAAGAAAACCTAAATATGGCAAATGCAGATGTTTGACAGAGGTTTCTGTTGTAATCCACCTAAACTCACACTGTTTACATTGGATATCACTACACATCCAATAAATATATAATCAGTTTATAGTTATTTGATCACCTGGTACCTAAACCAAAAAGACTGTCTTTATTAGTCTATACTAGCTTTAAAGTACTTTTAGGAAGAGCAATGCCTGTGGGAAACTGATCTCCCATTTGCTTCATTGAACATTCAGGGTAGAAACATTAATAAATAACCTTTGGGTGATTTGAAAAGACTGACGCTGGGCTCAATCTTTGTCCAGTCAATGTTTTCGTCCTCTGGGGAATGTTCCACCATCAATTGAAATAGCTTCATTGAAATGATATCATGATTATCTGGAAAAGAAACCAAGTTATATTCACTGTTCAGCTGATTAAAATTCAGTGACAAAAGATCACCATTTATTATCTTCCTGGGTAGCTTCCTGCAAGCAAAATCAGCTGGGGAAGCTGAATTCTCTTAACTGGATGATTTGCCTACCATCTATAGTGATTAGTTTAACAATCATGACAAAAAATGCCATAAAATTGGGTGCAACTACTTTACAATCTACTTGCTTAACCACATAAATTCTGGTCCTAATTGTGGTTGTAAATCATGGATTACCTGTATCTTGTGAACTTTACCAAAAGCTGTCTCTATGTGAAATAATATAAGCAAATAGGACAGTCACTTTAACTACTAGCAGGTACTTCTCACCAGATAGATCTCCTGTACCAGCAGAAGCCCCAAAGAAATAACCAGTGGGTAATCGAACTCCTGCAACATCAAAGCAGTTTTTCCATTCATTTTTATCCTCTACGTCAGTCATAACCTGCAACATAAAAGTCATCTTCCGCATTAAGCATAACTTAGTTTTCACACTTCTCAGACAGTTAAAAAATCCTATGGAAATGTACAAGAATGTCAATTCTGAAATACATAAATTGGTAAACTCAAAACTATATTATCAGATTATATTCATGTTCACTTTTTACATTTCATTGACTAGAGCTGTAGTAAACATGATGTAACTTATTCATTCTAAGTTAGTTTGGAACTTCCATGGACATTCATCTGTTATTTGTGTAATATGGTAGAATGTCATCTAATTCACTTGTGCATTTTGTATCCAGCACCCATCATCACACTTACCGTCAGACGCCCCCGAGAATATCGGACAGCCAAAAAAGTGTCGTGGTTCTGATTACGAATGTCAGCTGTACACCCTGCCAGCTCCGTCCAGCGACCATCTTTACTATGGTCATAGGTCAGGGATCCATTGTTAACCATGGCAGAAATGTAAGGAAACACACGCTACAGAATAAAATAAATTTTAATCAGACTTGTCTCTCTGATGCTCAAAACTCATACCCTAAATATTTTGAAATCCCTATGCATACAGAATCTCTATTTATATGGGATTGTTCATGCAGGAAAAGCAAAATGCAGTATTAGCCTTCAAACAGAAGCTATTGGTATCATTTACCTCAGAAGTTTCCTCATTGGGATAGGTATCCAGGAAAATGGCCAATCCATGGAATTTATCTTTACTGCCAAATACAGGTCCTGAGGGTGATAAACAGAAAAATATGAATAAGGGGTCCATGTACTTTTAAAGAGCTAAAATCAACCAATCTTCAAACAACACTGATCAATTTAAACATTTTACATGAAGTCATTTTGGAGTAGATGGTATATAAATATGTATAATGAACAAATGTTTGCTAGCAATCATTATTATTGATGGGTAAGTCTGCTTAGGGCCAAAAAAGGTTTGTGAAGTTTTACGGGCTAGGTACCCTGGGGAAGATGTTACCCATGTCACAAAGCCACTCCAACGGAAGATTCTGGAAATTATTAGCTAACATTCCATCAGTGAATAACCTACTATTTCATGGCATAAGACCAGGGGACTGCCTTTCCCTGATAGTTTCTACTTTTCCCATAAAATATGGAAGGAGAAGTATGCTGCAGGTCCAGTTAATATAAAGAATGTTATCTCGAGGGATCCACAAAGTAGACTTTTTGGTTACTGCCCCTGTTCTACAGAAAACTATTTCCCTTGAGATGAGAATGACTTTGATTCTTCCAGCCTTTCAGAAAGCCCTTAAAACATAGATATATTTCTGAGGATGATGAAGTTCTAAAGTGTCTATTGTTTCAACTAGAGTATATTCTGCCAGGCTGATTGCAACAACTGTGGGGGAATCTATTTACTTGTATTAAAAGTCCCAAACCCATGAAAGTGGAATATATTGCAAGTTATTATGCTGATCACAATACCTGCAGTCAGGCGATCCTGGGTGTACCACAGGGCAAAACCATCTCCATGGAGATTCTTCTTCCCTGCCCCATGAATTTTAAAATGGACATGAAGCTCCCAATCCTTCAGAAAACAGGGCTAGAAGACAAAATAGAACAACTCCAAACAGCTGTTCAGGAAATCCAAGGTGGAAAGCATGCAGGCTGCAAATCACAT